CGTCTTTGCTGTGAAAGTGTGGATTACTTTGAAGAGGGGGGCTCTTCAAGATGGTTTGCATCATCCTTTCTCCCCCGCCACCTTGTCCAGACACGCTGCAGTTAGGCAGGGCCCATCTCAAGATACCTTGATACATTGCCCAAAAATGGACTAAATAACTCAGATGGAGAAAAGCAAACTACCTCCTCTCCTCTGTTTCTTTCAGTGGCTGTAGCTACGTTGCACAAATATCAGTAGTGTGAAAACAGAAGTGCTTTACAAATGCAAAATGGGGATCACATGGAGAAAGTAACTGAAATCCAGATACCTGGATCCAGCCTCAGTGGTTCTGGATCAACAGAACTGAGGTGGGGGCCAATTTAACTTTTTTATGGATGCACATTCAGATTTGGAAATCTCTCTGTGGGACATGCCACCTGGGTAGGGCAATGGGGTCCTAAAGAAAGCAAAGCCACTATTGGATAAAGTAGACTATGACCAAGCCTCAAGTGGACCTTCAGAACCAGCTCCAATCCTCTGGCCAGCTTGCCGGTGACAACCCATGCAGCAGCCTCAGCTCTGATTTGGATACGTATTCCAAGTGTATGTGTCTGCACTGGTATAAAAACTGCCCTCTCCACTCGGAAGTCATGGCTCACCAGGGGCTGCTCACCCTGGCCTGTCATTCCCTAGTGAAGAATGGTCTCTGTATTCCCCTCTGTGACCCATAAGACCTAGAGACCCCTTAGGAAGGTGACAGGGAGCACTAACCCACAGAAGAGAATTCTGGGATGGGCAGATGGGAAGAGGTTCTGGATACTGATCTCTAAGAACTGGTGTCTGAAGCTAAGCATTAAAGGCCAATCTTGGTCTTTGACTTTTATACTCCCCTCCACCAAGGCTGACATACTCTTGGTGGGTCCTAAAATCAGTTGAGTTTTGTAGTCTGTTATAATTGCCTCTTTTCAGTGTTATAAAATGTTGTCTACATGCCAATATGCCCCTGTATGTTTGCAAATCTTGTTCCGAAATAAAGATTCATCCTTTATAAGACATGTTCAGAAGGATTGTCTCATTTTCTCTGTTGAGTGGAGAAAGCAGGTTCTGGGATTCGTTTTTCAGAAACAAGGGATGCGAAGCCCAAAAGACTGAAGACCCCAGGATTCACCTCAGCTGCTCTGATTCAAGTCCTATACCCTATTCACTGTGTCTCCTTCTCCATCTGCCCAGACTCCTTATGATAGACAATGTGGAGGACATAAACCAGTAGTTACAATATGCCTGTATAAAAGATGGCGGGGTGGGGGGAGGAGAATGGGAAAGTAGTGTTTTTGTTACAAACCAGCATGTGCCCTTGGGCAAATCCTCCCGCCTTCTGAGCACCCATCTCTTCACCTATAAAATAAAATATTTAGATAAGATGATCTGTAAGGGCTCTGCCCATGTTAACATAACCAAGGCAGTGAGAAAGCAAATTGGACATGACCAGGTACACAAATGCTATGGGTTGGGTTGAGTACCCTCTCCCCCCCCACCCCCCTGCCCACTCATATGTTGAAGTCCTAACCCCTGGTGCCTCAGAATGTGATTTTATTTAGTGGTGGGGTCTTTACAGAGGAAATCAAGGTAAAATCAGGCCCTTAGGGTGGGCCCTCATCCAAGATGGGTGGTGTCCTTATATAAAGGGAAAATTGGGGGGTGCCTGGGGGGCGCAGTTTGTTGAGCATCTGACTCTTGATTTCAGTACAGGTGATAATCTCAGGGTCATGAGATCAAGTCCCGAGTTGGGCTCCGCACTCAGCGGGCAGTCTGCTTCTCCCTCTCCCTCTCCCTCTCCCTCTGCACTTCCCCTTGCTCATGTGCACTCTCTCTCTCTCTAAAATAAATACATCATTCTTTACAAAAGAGGGGGGGGGATTTGGACACAGAGACACCCAGGTAGAGGGAAGAGAGTGTGATGACACATGGAGAGAAGACTGTCATCTACAAGCCAAGGAGAGAGGATGGGATAGACCCTCCCCCACAGCGCTCAGAGGGAACCAGCCTGGCCCACACCTGGATCTCTGACTCCCAGTCTCCGGAACTGCGAGACAATGCATCTCTGTTGTTAAAGCCGCCTGGGTTGTCTTACTTTGTTACAGCTTCCCGTAATCCCATCCAACCAGTGTTTTGAATAAGAGGGAATTTAGATCTGACAGTCACTTTCCTGACACTTCTGCAGCGCCTTCCATTAAAGCTAGACGTGTGCCGAGGCTTCAAAGAACCAATTCTTTTCATACAGATTAGAAACTTGGGCTTTCTTAGCCGCTGGCATTTCCTGGTCACAGTGAATGTGCTAGTTTTGGGAAGAAATGGTTGAAAGACTTTAAGAGAAGAATGATTTACAAATCTTGAAGATGGGTGCCAGTTATCTTACTAAAATTGATGCACTAAAGAGAAAAAAATAAATAGGAACAAATGCAGGTAACTACTTAGAAAATTAAGGGCGGGAAAGGCTTCAAATACAGTGTCAAAACAGATGACAACTATGAACAGAAAGTGAACAATCTGAACACACAAAAAATAATGTCCATACGGCAGAAAATAAGGGTAAAACATTAAGTTAAAAAGGTCAATGACAAATTGGGGAAAATATTTGTATTTGATACAAATACAAATACAAAAAGAGAAAGCTTTATATTTTAAACACTAATAAATGTGTAGAGATCTTAATGAAGCCACATTAAAAGGTGCAGATCTGCTGCTTCTGGCCCAGACAGAATCACAGGGTTCAGATTTGCCCTCCCCGCTTAAAGAAGTTTCTAGAAGGGGGAAATATATGAATATGAAATGACACGTTTTAACCATTTGGAGAGAAGGGTGAGCTCCAAGAGCGTCCCAGAGAGTTATCCAGGCCAAGGTATGGGGCAGGGGTCCTGGGGGGGGGCAGCGTTTCTCTGAGATGCAGGGACAGAGTTGGGTGTTATGGGGCAAAGGGGTACAACAGCCAGAGTTCACAGCCAGAATGGAGAGAGAGGCGGGAGGGTGTCCCAGTCTTCAGCTGAGCGGGTCAGTGCCGGTGGGGGAGGCAAGGGCTGGAGGCCAGGACCCAGCAGAGAGGGGCTCTGCCTGTCTTCACCAGGGTGCTCAGCACAGCTTCCATCCTTTACCTGCTGAAAATGGAAAAGAACACAGAAGAAACGTGCCTGGAAGTGTTCCAGGCTCAGGCCCAGGGGAGGTATGGTCACCTCGCTCGAATTCCAGCATTCCATCGGTGAGAATTTGGGCACGGGCCACACTTACTAGCAGCAAGAGCTGGGCAAGACTTCACAGCTTCCAGAGAAGCACGTCTTTTGTGCAGGATTAGTTGATGTAGCAGCTCAGCTAGGGAAATCAGGAATGGGTTATGTGCCCATTCATTTGCATAAATCAGTACTTACTATTACCTTTGAAAAGAGTGTTACCTGGAGAGAACTTACTCTGTTGATTTCATATGTGTCTAAATCTCTTTAGAAGCTAAGTAACTGTCTTGCCAGCATTACAATCAGGGAAGGTTGTTCGTAAGGGCCTGGGAGCCATCTCTTTGAAATGTAAACCTCAAGGAAGGTGGTGTCTCTCTGTCACCAGGTGAGTTAAGGATGGGCTCTAGGTACCTAGCTCTGAGCTGTAACTACCTGCTTGTCAGAGAGAGGTTAAGAAGTTTTGGACAGAAACAACTAGCACGGATGGGCACCCAGATTCCCAGGTGAGGATGAACTATGAAAAAACGTATAGCAAATGGTGCTGGCAAGTCCTGTTAACGTGAAACAGGTGTGCTCTTTAGCCTGAGAATGTCTATGTAATGGATTGTATCTGCTGAGCTGCATGAAAAGACAATCCTTGCAATCTTGTTAGTGGTTTGCCTGTGATGTACAACACAGTCTGGTTTAATGGTTATTTAACAATAGAACGGGGGCACCTGGGTGGCTCAGTCAGTTAAGTGGTGAACTCTTGTTTTCAGCTCAGGTCCTGTTCTCAGTGTTGTGGGATCGAGCTCTGCATGGGGCTCCCTGCTCAGCGGGGAGTCAGCTTGGGATTCACTCTCTCCCTCTCCCTCTGCCCCCCCCCCGCTCTCTCTCTCTAAAATAAATCTTTTTTTAAAAAACAACAGAACAGTTGTCCTTATTTGTATATTCGTGGAGAGGATTTCTTGGATGGCAGGAGATTTTGCTTTTAATCCCCACCACCTGCCAGTGGTTAAGAAGCAATTGACCAACAACAGGATTATATAATCTCTCACACACACACAAAAATACTGATAAATCGTCATCCTTATGGTCCCATCTTTGAAAAATGACACTTTAACCTAACCCACACATAATTCTCTTTGATGGGCAAGATCTCAGGTAGCTGGGTTTGGTGGTATTTTTGTTTTTATTTTGGAGTTTGTATGTGATTTCTGATTGTTCTACAGTATTTAAGCATTCGTTGTGTAATCTGGACAAGCTACATTTTCTATTTCCCTCCCCTTCCTTGGAGAAACCATGTGCCCATGGATGACAATATCTAATGTCATGGCTGGGTATTAATTGTATCCCAGTGTTTTAGTGAAACTTCTAATATTTCAGCGACGTGCACACGATACACCCTTTCCTTGTCCTCTCTTGCTCGTGGGGAATCTCAGTGCCAACCCGATAGATCTCAGGGCAGGCAAAGGACCAGGGATCCAGGACGCAAACACAGCCCTCCACTCGAGGTGACACCTTTCCTTGATCCCTAACAGGAGCGAAGACAAATGGGAAATTTGGCCCTAGGTCCAGGCGGTTGATCCTCAGTGCAGCGCCTCTTAACCACCAGATGGGGTGGAGACTTTCGAGACGTCCCCTAACTTGTGGGCGCTTGGACTCACGGGAAACAAAAGTCGGGGTATTTGTCCGGCTGCCCGGGTGGGCTCTGGCAGGCGCACCGCCGCCGCTGTCCTGCGCATGTGCAGCTCGGCCTGTGTGCGTGTTCGCGCACGCGCAGTGCCGCCGCGCTGCTCTCGCTTCCTGTCCGAGCCCAGGTCGCCGCTCGCCGTGGTTCCCAGGCTTCGGCCTCCGGCGGGCGAGGTTCCCGGGGCCTGCGGGGTTACACGCCGTCTGGCCGGGCCGGCACCCAGCGGGCGCGGGGCTGTGCGGGCTCAGGTCCGCGCGGGCCGGGCGGGGGCTCGAGCGGGGACCCCCGAGCGCGAGCCCCGGAGCCCGCGGGCTGGGCCGGAGGGGCCGGGCGGGCGGCGGCGGCGGCGCAGGGCGCCGAGGCCAGGGCCCGGCCCGTCTGTGACTGCGGGACGGCGAGGCCCCGGGCGGCCAATTCGGGCCCCGAGAGGGTCGTCGGCCCGAAGTGAGTTTGTCCCGTAGGCCCAGAACCGGCTCCCCGGGAACGGCGGCCCCAGGAGGCGGAGGAGGAGCAGCCTCCGTCCCGGAGCCTTCGGGAGCCTTGGGGCAGCTCGGCGGGTCCCGACGGGGTAGGTCGGGCGCTTGTGGATCTTCCGGGCGGCGAGAGGGCGCGAGCGGCTGGACTGGGAGGGATGGGCGCTCCCTGGGACTCGGGACTCGTGGGACCCAGGTTTCCCGGGGGCGCAGGGGACCCGCGCCAACCCCCACACCCGACACGCTTTGCTCCCTCGGGTTCTCTGTCCAGCTTCCCGACGCGTCTCTAAGCGCTCAGTAGTGTCTGCTGACCCCACTGGGTTGTGCCCTGAGGCATCCCACAGTGTAGCGCCGGACCAGTGTGCGAGGTCCAGGTGCTGCTGCCTAGGTTGACAGGACATTGGGTCTGAGAAGGGAGGTGGCTTGTCCAGGGTGACGAGGTCTGTGGGTGGGCTTGCTCACAGGACTCAGCTCCGGGGCCGGTGTTCTGTCCGCCCTGTTAGAGTTTTCTTAGTAAAAGATTCTTACGTGCAGCGATAACGCGGTAAAGTGATACTATTTAAAAACAGAAGCATGCTTTGATGCACATTAATCACTTTAGAGAACTACTGTTCTCTGTTTCTGTGGATACTTCGATTTTAAGCAATTTGAAGGGTCAGTAAGAAAATATGTAAACAGTGTAAGAAGAGGTTTTTTTCCAACATTAATGAAGGCAAGCTGTTTGAAAAATGAGTCGATGTTTATGTTAACCAATGAGAGTAACCCATCTAATCGCCTCCTGATATGTGGGGTGACAACAGTTCTACTCTTTGTTTCTCCTTTCTCACAGTTTTAGCCCCTTCTGAGTGTTCACAGGATATGAGCTTTCTTTGGTGGTTATTATGCAGGATGTTTCTGACTTCTTTATTTCTTCTGCTTCCCTAGGTCTACTGTTAACAGTCTGTGTGTTTTTCCAAGAGCAGCAGAAAATGGATGAATCCCAGGTGAGTGTTTCTATCTCTGTATATGTTCCTTTGCTTGGTTTTGTAATGTATTTCAGGAGGTTTATATGGATCCAGATTTTAAAATGGAAATGTGGGAATAAAAGACATTACCATGTAAAGTACTATCATGTAAAGTACTGTCTAAAGACAGTATCATGTAAGTTATTAGGGGGTCAGATCAGCACCCAGAGTCTTTTTTCAAGTTCGTGTGTGCAGACATTAGGTTACCTCAGGGCTGTGGGGATAGAGCTACACATATGACTGATGTTCCTGACAGTCGCAGAAAAGGAGAGTACTGCCCATTACGTGATTTGAATTGACTGTTTTTTTACTTGTGGATTTTCAAGATTTCCTAGGACTTGAGAAAATGTCTTTGTTGAAATTGATGTTATTGTGGGTAGCTTTCCTAATAACAACCATTAAGTCATTGCAACATATGGCTTATACTTGTTTATCTAAGCCAAGGGCCTGCTGTATATAATTTTTCCAGGCAGCAAAATACCCTGATCCAAGGAGACATATTTTCATTGTTACTGTTTGATCCAGGGATAAAAGCTAAGTCTGAGGGAATGGCCTGCTCATCCTTCAGATGCTTCTGTTACTGTTCATTTGGGTTGTGCAGTAAGTAATACAGCAAGGTATTCTTTAGTAAATACGTCCTCACTCCCATTCCTGTTTCAATTCTCAGCATCTTGGTTTTGTCCTCACCCCGCTCCCGAATGTGTTGGCAAAAATTAACAGTGACCTAATTACGGTCAAGTCCATCGGACACCTTCCAGCCCTTACCTCACAGGACCACGCATCTGACTCTGAATACCTTTCTTTCTTAATATATAATATCTGCTGTTCAAAGTTTCACCGTTTTCTGAATGTTTTGGGGTTCTTTTCAGTCAGGGTACACATAGAGACCACACTTTGTGGGGCAGGGAGGCGATGGGGGCTGTTAAGTCTTAAATCTTTTACTAGTAGTTCCTCCGGTATGTCTTTTGTGTTACTATGTAACTTACGTTTGAAGAAATTGGTTTTATCCTCTGTTTCCCGTAGTCTGGATTGTGTTTACCACATTGCCATCATTTTAACTTTATAACACTTTTTTTTTTATTAATTCCCTAGATGCCTTATAAGATTGGTAGTTACACAAACAATGAATCATGGAACACTACATCAAAAACTAAAGATGTAATGTATGATTAACATAACAATGAAAAATTAAAAAAAATAAGATTGGTAGTTAGCTCTGCAAGTTTACCCATTTCTGTTCAGTTCTTTTGGGAAGACTTTGTTGCCCATGACACTTGTCTGCTTTCTTCCTGTCTTTGTTTTTGTGATGTTAGCATCCATTGGTTGATGTTCGTTGCCAAGATCCCTGGATTCTTTAGGGGAGACAAGGTGGTGCTGTGCTGCTTTGCCATTTCTTCCTCACTCACTGGCTAGAATACTTTCCTAAAGAAAAATATCTCTTTAATTGGTTTTGTGGTTCATACAGAAAAGGTAATTTTCACAATACTGAGTAAGGCTCCTGAGCAACTGAGATGTTTGTTTCATTTTGTTATCATTATGAGCTCACAGGTTTACACGTGTTTTAAGTATTTCAGTACATCGAAGTTGTTACTCTCTTTGATGCCTAAGTGGTTCTTTGACCAGAGAAATCCCTTCAGATTGGTTTCTGAGTCCTTTTGAAACATCCTATATATATATATATTTTTTTTTTTAAGATTTTATTTATTTTAGAGAGAGTGCACGTGCACTTGTGCCAGAGAGAGGTCATGAGCAGGGGGAGGGGCAGAGGGAGAAGCAGACTCCCCGCTGAGCAGGGAGGCCGACACGGGGCTGTATCCCAGGACCCTGGGATCATGAGCTGAGCCAAAGGCAGACGCTTAACGACTGAGCCATCCAGGCGCCCAAGATATTTTCTTTTTTAAAAGATTTCATTTATTTGAGAGAGCGACCAAGAGAGTTCGAGTGGGGCAGGGGGAGGGAAGAGCAGAGGGGAGGGAGAAGTAAGCTTCCTGCTGAGCAGGGAACCCAATGCGGGACCCTATCTGGGATCATGACCTGAGCCAAAGGCAGACGGTTAACCCACTGAGCCACCCAGATGCCCCTGAAACATTCCCTGTATATGTGATAACATTCATTTTTATTCAGCGTTTTATTTTGGAAAAACTTCAAACTTACACAACAGTTGCAAGGATCATAGAGGACTCCCACGTTCCTTTTGCCCAGATACTCCAGTTTTTGACATCTCCCCACATTTGCTTTATTATCTGTGTATGTACATATTTCTTACCTGAATCGTTTTGAGAGTGGATGTCCCTTTTCAGATTGTACCTCCTAAGATCAAGGGTGTTCTCTACTGAATTCAGGAAATGGAATATTATAATATTTTTATCTAATCTACAACTTCTGATTTTACCAGTTTTCCCAGTAATTTATAGTAATTTTTAATTTCTGGTAGACGATCCAGGCCAGGGCTGTGAATTGCATTTAGCTTTGATGCTTTTCAAGTTTGTTTATGGCAGTAGTTTTTTTTTTTAAGATTTTGTTTATTTGACAGAGAGAGAGAGACAGAGACAGAGGGAACACAAGCGGGGAGTGGGAGAGGGAGAAGCAGGCTTCGCGCTGAGTAGGGAGCCTGATGCGGGGCTCGATCCCAGGACCCTGAGATCATGACCTGGCAGGCGCTTAACCAACTAAGCCACCCAGGAGCCCCACGACAGTAGTTTCTTAACGGCATTATAATATTTGAAGAATACAGGACAGTTATTTTATAGAATTCTTTGAAGTTAGGTTTCCCTCATGTTTCTTCGTGATTAGATTTAGATTGTGAATTTTCTGCAGGAATACTCCATGAAATCACTCCTTTTAAATTTATGGCCCAAAATAGGGTCCCTCTTGGGAAGTTCCACGTGTGGTTTTTTGTTGTTGTTGTTTTTTTAAGATTTATTTATTTATTTATTAGAAAGTGCGTGGGGTGGAAAGGGGCAGAGGGAAAGAGAGAATCCCAAGCCGATTCCACCGAGTGCAGAGCCCAATGCAGGACCTGGTTGGCCCCGATCCCAGGACCCTGCTGAGATCATGACCTGAGCTGAAACCAAGAGTCAGACCCCCAACCAACTGAGCCACCCAGGTGCCCCCTGGGTGCAATAGTTATTTTCTCAGGAATAAGAAAATAACATAGTTATCATTTCTAGTACTCTTCATTTCTTGATATACATACAGATTTCTATCTGCTTTCACTTTCCTTCTGCCTGAAGGACTTCCTTCAACACTTTTAGTTGTTTGTTTTTTTCTTTTTCAAATTTTTATTTAAATTTTAGTGAACATGTGCTTGAAAAGATTGCCTATTCTGCTGTTGGTGGGAAAAGTTCGATAAAGGTCGATCCCATTAAATTGGTAGTGTTGTTCAAGTGAGCTGATTCCTTGCTAATTTCCTGCCTCCTTGTCCTCTTTTGTCCTGAGAGAAGGAAGTTGAAATCTTCTCCCGCAACTGTGGTTTGTCTATCGCAGTTCTATCGGGTTTTGCTTCATGTTTTTTATTAGGTACATAAACATTTAAATTGTTATGTCCTCTGGATTAAGTAACCATTTTGCCATTGTGAGGGGGGGCTTCTTTACCCCTGGTAATCTTCGCTGCTGTGACGTGGAGTTTTTTCTGATATTCATGCAGCCACTCCAGCTTTCTTTTGAGTAGTGTTGGCATCTGATTCCATCCTTTTACTTTTAACCTGTTTCCGTCTTTATACTTCAAGTGCATATAGTTGGATCTTGCTTTTTTTTTTAAATCCAATCTGACCGTTTCTGCTTATTAATTGGGTTGCTTGGACCATTTACATGTAATACGATTATTGATATAACCGATTAGGTCGTAGTCTGGTTTTGTTTTCTCTTTGTTCATCAGCTTAGTTTCTTTTTTCTTCTTTTGTCTTCCTTCCTTTTGATTGATTGTGTGTATTTTATGATTCCATTTTACATGTTTTGTGGGCTTGTTAGCTCTAACACTGTTGTTATTTGTGATTGCTTCGGGGTTTATAGTATGCAGCTTTAATTTATCACAGCTTATCTTCAGGTAATGTACCGTTGATTGCTGAGAATGTAGGGAGCTTGTCACTTCCATTTCTCCCCTCTGGGTCATTATGCTGTTGTGTCATTTTACTTTTACAGGTAGAATCAGTCCCACAAGACATAATGATTTTTAAGTAGCTATTTTTTCAGGAATAAGAAAATAACATAGTTACCATTTCTAGTACTTTTCATTTCTTAATGTAGATACAGATTTTTATCTGCTGTCATTTTCCTTCTGCCTGAAGGACTTCCTTCAACACTTCTAGTTGTTTGTTTTTTTCTTTTTCAAATTTTTATTTAAATTTTAGTTAGTGAACATACAATGCGGTATTGGTTTCAGGACTAGAATTCAGTGATTCATCACTTACGTAAGACACCTGGTGCTCATCACAACAAGTGCCCTCCCTTAATGCCCATCCTCCATCTAGCCCATCCCCCATCCACCTTCCTCCATCACCCCTCAGTGTGTTCTCTGTCGTTAAGGAGTCTCTTATGGTTTGATTCCCCCCTCTCTTTTTTTCCTTCCCATATGTTCATTTGTTTTGTTTCTTAAATTCCATGTATGAGTGAAATCATATGGTATTTGTCTTTCTCTGACTGACTTATTTCACTTAGCATAATCCCCTGTAGTTCCATCCATATCATTGCAAATGGTAAGATTTCATTCTTTTGATGGCTGAGTAATATTCCAGAGTGTGTGTGTGTGTGTGTGTTTATGTGTATGTATGTGTATGAACCACATCTTCTTTATCCATCAGTCGGTGGACATTTGGGCTCTCTCCATAGTTTGGCTGTGGTGGATAATGCTGCTATAGACATCAGGGTGCCATAAACATCAAAGATTCTTCTTTGAATCTGTATTTTTGTATCCTTTGGGTAAATACCTAATAGTGTCATTGCTGTATTGTAGGGTATTTCTATTTTTAACTTTCTGAGGA